CACACCAGCCTGTGTGATCACGAGGTGTCGCTGGGATCAGGTATCAGGCATCAAAGACCCAGAACAAAAAATCATATCATTGGAAATGAGGGGGAGTGCAGACTGGAAACCCAAAGCCCATCTTTAGGCAATTGGACATCCCCTTACAGAAGGGTCTCAGGGATATGACAAGCCAGTCATGGTGCAGTATAGCACCAATGAAACAAACAATTTTTCTCTAGTTCTTTAATGCTTCTTCCTCCCCACTATCATGACACCAGTTCTACCTTACACATCTGGCTAGACCAGAGCATGTACACAGGTACAGATAAGAGCTGGAAACACAGGGAATCCAGGACAGATAAACCCCTCAGGACCAATATTGAGAGTAGCCATACCAGGAGGATAAGGGGGAAGATGTGTGTGGGGGGGAGGGGGAACTGATCACAATGATCTACATATAACCCCCTCCCAGAGGGATGGGCAACCAAAAAGTGGGTGAAGGGAGACAATTGATCAGTGTAAGACATGAAAAAATAATAATAATTTATAAATTATCAAAGATTCATGAGGGAGGGTAGAGGAGGGTGGGGGAAAATGAGGAACTGATACCAAGGGCTCAAGTATAAAGAAAATGTTTTTAAAATGTTGGGCAACAAATGTACAAATATGCTTGACACAATGAATGTATGTATGGATTGTGATCAGAGTTGTATGAGCCCCCAATAAAATGATTTAAAAAAAATCAGTGTCTATAATATAAAGGTTTATTTATAGACTTCCAATTCTATTTAGTCTGTATATATTTGTTTATGCTATAACCATACACTTAATTATTGTATTATGTTTTGACATCAGAAAGTGTGAGTCCTCTAATTTTGTTCATTTTAAAGAATGGTTTTGCCTACTCTGAGTCTGTTGCATTTCCATGTGAATTTTAATATCTGTTGGTCTAATTCTACAATAAAAAGTATCTGGGAATTTGAATGAAATTGCATTGAATCTGTAGCTCAATTAAGGAATCATAACCAACTTAACAATATTACCTTTCAATCCATGAACATGGAATTATTTTCTTTTATTTACATCATCTTTCATATCTCATAATGATGCCTTACAGCTTTTTATGTATAAAATCTTGTACTTCTTTCATCAAATTTATCCCTGTTTTCTACATTTTGATAATATTTTAAATGGAATTGCTTTATTAATTTCATTTTTGGATAGTTCATTGCTAGTGTAGAGAAAATTGACTTTTCCATACAGTGAACCCTCACCACTTCGCGCTTCGACTTCCGCGGCTTCACTCTATCGTGGTTTTTTGCGTAACAGCACATGCTCTGTCATTACTGCCACTGATTGGCTCATACTGTACACGCTTGATGCCATAAATAATATAATAAATAATAAATGATAATTATAACGTCCAAAATGTTTTACTGTATTTTTCCTTTTTCGTTTAATAAATTGGGTAATACGAGTGTAATGGTGACTAAAGGGTGTTTTTTCATGTCCTCTATGCTCTAACTATGAAAATATTTGATTTACAAATAAGGAATCCTACTTTGCGGAATTTCATTTATCATGGTAGGGTCTAGAACCGATTAACTGCGATAAACGAGGGTTCACTGTATTGCTCTTGTATCTTATAACCCTACTGTATTCACTTACCAGTTTTATTTATTTTTGCATGTGTCAGTTATTTAAGATTTTTAGTAACCAATGAGTATGTCATCTATGAATATGAGCGGGTACCGCCCCCCACCTGGAATTATGCTGGGCAAAGTGGAGCTTTCCAAGTACACATTTTTCCCACTAGGCAAGCATCAAACAACTCATTCTCAGTTAGTGCACCCAGGTGTCGCCTAGGAAGGTTCTCTCTGGTCACAGTGACATTTTTCAGAAAAGTATTTTTGTTTTAACCTCGTTTTTTTTGTGATGGTTGATTTAAGAGAACCACATGCAGTTGTGAAATTTTGTTTTCTGCTCAGGAGAAATGCCAAAGAATCTGTTGTGATGTTGAACACAGTTTATAAGAACAGCGCTATGGAAAAAACTCAAGTGTATGAGTGATTTTCTTGTTTCAAAAAAGGTGAAATGTTGATTGATGACAAACTTCATTCTGGACACCCATCAACTTCCTGAAGAGACAAAAATGTCAACTTGTAATGCATTTGGAATTCATTCCACCAGCTCAGACTGTTAATAAAGCTTTTTAGTTAGAGGTTCTGAAAAGATTACATAACAGTATGTGACCAAAAAGGCTTGATTTGTGGCAGATTGGGGACTGGTTTTGCCACCATGACAATGCACCTGCTCATGCAGCCATCTCGGTGTGCCAGTTTGGGGCAAAAAACAGCATGCTTCTCTTGTCCTACACACCATACTCTCCAGGCCTTGATCTGTGTGACTTCTTTTGGTTTCCACGAATGCAAAGGGACCTGAAAGGAGAGCAATCTGTCTACATAGAAGAGGTGAAGAAAAAAACTAGGGAGGTGCTGTCAGCCATCCAAAGAGATGAGTTTGAAAAATGTCTCCAAGAATGAAATCGCAGATTGGACAAATGCATTAAGTGTAATGGAGAGTATTTTTCATTTTAAAAATGTATTCAATACATAGCTTTTGGGGAAAAATTCCATTTTGGTGGGGGGTACCCCCTCGTAGTGTTTTACTTCTTCTTTTTCTATAATCTGGATAGGTTTAGTGTTTTTCTTATTAATTGATCTGGTGGCAATTCCAGGTACCTGTTGGACTTCTAAGTGCAAAGATGGCAATTCGAATCCACCAGGTGCTCCATGAGGGAAAGTTCAGGTCGTCTACTCCTGTAAGGATTGACCACCTCAGAAACCCTATATTGGGCCACTGTACATGGGCACAGGCATAAAAACAATGGTGAGTGTGGCACAGCTGGCGTGTTTTGTTCTGTTGTACAAATGAGTCTGAAGCAACCTGATGGCACTTAACAGCAAGAATCGGAATCAGCTCTATGGCAGTGTGCTTTTACTGGTGCCGTTAATTGGCCCAGTTAGAACCTCCAGTACAATGGTGAAGAGAAGTGGTGAGTGATTAACCTTGCCTTGATCTTAGTGGGAACAGAGCCAATCTGTTACCATTAAGTATGATGTTAGCTGTGGATTTTCCATAGAGGCTGTCTATCAGGATGAGGACGTTCTCTTCTATCCCTAGGGGTCTCTTCTGCATTCCCCAGCATCTCCACTCAGCTTGCTGCTGAGAATGCTGTGCAGACCTTCAGTCCCTCTTCCTGGAAGGATTTTGATGTGCTGCTCCACACAGTGAGGCAAGGTATTTCACCCCTGTTTCCAATGTCTCTCTATGTTTTCCCACCTGGATCTGTATGCACTAGCTCTGAGGCAGAAAGGAAGGATTTCCAGAGCACTTGTACCTGAGGCCCTTCCCTTTAGATACTAAGGTAGGGTAAGGGGGTAAGGGTGGGGTAATCTGCATAGAATTACTGCAAACAGTAAGACCGCAACCTGCAGGCTCCTCTTCTGCCAGGCCTGAGCAAAGGCGAAGAACAGAGAGGAGGTCTTGGGGAAAAGAACAGCTGCTGAGGTCCCATGTGAGCCAGCTGGCCAAAGCCAGCTTAGGCTCAGGGTCAATGCATTCTAAATGTGGACACAAGTGAGGTGATTCCAGGAGCAAGACCAGGAGAAATCCCAATCCTAGTTCCCCAAATTCCTGTCAATGTTAATATTGTGCAACACGCTCTTGTTTATGTAGAACACAAACATTGATTGTGATATCGAAGTATACTTTTGCAATGGTTTTGGATAATTTTCCTTACCTCTCACAAAAGTTTCACAAAGCTGTTGCTTCTTTCCATGGCCCACTCACCTGAGGTACCTCTGCCATGAACTTGTGGACGGAGCTTCTCTGAGGTCTCCTCCATGCTTTTCCTCTTATTGTATATCTAACCCCTAGCTTTCTCCTAGGAAAATCATAGGATCTCAGAGCTGAAGAGAGCTTTCCTCAACTCTACCCTGAACCTAATCATTTAGCTAAGTTAACCTTCAGCCTAAGCTTAATCCTTACTCTGACCCTAATATCCATTCTGATGTGAACCCTAGATTCATACCTCTATAATAGATCCATATCTATTAATAATTGGAACCCTATGGATAATAATGAATTATAGATAGCCTTGAGATGAATGAGTATTCTAGAACGCTTCATGGGGCTCATGTACAACTTGTACATGGATCAAGTGACAGTTGTGCAAAAAGAACAAGCGCATATTGAATGGTTTAAAATCAGGAAAGGTGTGAATTAAAGTTATATCCTCTTAACACATATATTCAATTTCTATGCTGAGCAAATAATCAGAGAAGCTGGATTATATGAAGAAGAATTTGGCAGCAGGATTGGCAGAAAGCTCATTAACAACCTGCTATATGCAGATGACATAACCTTGCTTGTTGAAAGTGAGGAGAATTTCATCAGCTGTGTAAAGAAAACCCAAATGCACACAACTGGACCAATAGGTAACATTATTAACACGATAAATAGAGAAAAGATTGAAGTTGTTAGGGATTTTGTTTTTCTTAGACCCACAATCATTGCTCCTGGAAGCAGCAGTGGAGATCAAATGGAAGTGGGGGGCACATCGAGAGAGAGAGAGAGAGAGAGAGAGATCAAATGATGCAAGCAAGGATATTACTTAGAGCACTAAGGTGAAAATACCAAGCCATGGTATTTTCCAGTGCTCACATGTATGTGAAAGTTGGACGTTGAATAAGGAAGACCAAAGAAGAATCAATGAATTTGAATTATGGTGCTGGTGAAGAATATTGAAAGTACCATAGATTGCCAAAAACAAACAAATCTGTTTTGGAAGAAGTACAGGCAGAATATTTCTTAGAGGTAAGGAACTTTGGACATGTTGTCAGGAGAGACCAGTCCCTGAAGAAGGACATCATGCTTGGTAAAGTAGAGGGGCAGCAAAAAAGGGGAATGCCCTGGACAAGATGGAATGACCCGGTGGTTGCAACAATGGGTTCAAACATAAGAACAACTGTGAGGATGGCACAGCACCGGGCAGGGTTTCCTTCTGTTGTGCACAGGGTCACTAGGAGCTAGAATTGACTCGATGGCACCCAATGACAACAACAGGAACCCTCAGTGTCCCTACTACCAACTCTGACCTCGGAAGACCTCTTTCGTCAGGACCTCTAGCAGATGGCAGAGGTTTGCTCTAGATTCTTCCACAATCTCCTTGATATCCTTCCTTTCCCCGGAACACGCATGCTGCCCTCATCCTGATCCCCGCCAATGATAGAGAACTACAGTACGAGTCATTCTTCACTAGCTAGAACTGCTCTCTGCAGGGGTTCCCTCCCGCCCTGGGATTCTGCCTGAATGAATGATGAATCCGAAAGGAGAGCTGCTTGTTTCATAATTGTAATGGTGGAGAAGGATTTTCCTTTGTGTGTGTGTGCATGTCTATGTGTGTGTAAGCATTGTGTATTGGGAAAATGTTAAAAAAGAAAATGTTCCATGTGCCCCTGAACCTGAACCCTATGAGGGTAGTTACCCTCTTAAATGAGGCAGCTCAGCCCCTTCCCTTCCCTTTCTTTCCTTTCCCATCCTATCCCATCCTATCTCATCTCTTCGGCTCCAGCCCACCTACCTTGGCCCACCTTTGGTTTGTTGAAAGCCTGATAGTATTGAGTCAGCTACTGGGTGCTTCCTCACTTGCAGCCCGTCCCAGTTCCAAGGTCTTCCCCGAAGGGGACCCCATCACAATCTCCCCAACATGGCTTTTCTTGGGGAGGACAGAGCTCTGTCCTAGGGATACTGGTACCAAATCCTTATGCCCACTCCCTTGCCTACCATTCTGATATTTCGACACGTGGAACATAGCCTCCTGTTTCTGAGCAGCACAGGTTGGCTTGAGCTCCTGCTCCCCTGTGGGGAAAGAGAGAGGAGAGAGGTGAGGATGTGGTCAGGTACCTGGTGCACAAACGTTAATGGGGGAGATGGACACTTCATTCTCAGCTCCAGGCAAGTGAATGCTGCATCCACGATCAGGTGCATATCAGTTCAGGAAGGGTTTAGGCAGCCATGAGTGAGCTGTAGCAGAGGTGGTGATCTCTGGCTCTGGGAGACAGTGGAGCAGGTGTGGCAGCTAGCAGAGGGGACTGGGGCTGCAGTCTAATGGGGTCTCTGCTTCCCACACAGAGCACCTATGAGCTGCAACCTCCCAAAGGTGGAGTATTTCCCCTACATCACACAAAGGCTCCACCTTTAGGCTAGCTGAGCATCTCAGCCTTAGAAACAATGAAGACCTCTCTCCAGCAAACCTCCTACCTGGCCCCTCCACGTCCTCCTCCTCTTCTCTCAGGCCTTAACTCAGGCCCCACCTCCATTCCCCAGCATCTGCTGGCTAGCCCCATCTCAGCCCTTTGCACCGTTTGGGAGAAGCCCCTGCAGTGAGGAGCCCAACTAAAGCTGGTGTTGGGGGCATGTATCCCTCCGCCCTCTGTGTGTTAGTCTAGGTAAACTAGGGAGACAAATCCACAGAAACTCATATATGTATAAGAGAGCGTTTTATATAAAGGGTAAGTGTACATTAAGAAAGCATCCCAACCCAATGCTGTCCAAGTCCATAAGTCTAACAGCCCATATGTCGGACACCGATCTACAAAGTCCTCCTCAGTCTCACAACACACACACAATGACTCCGACTGCAGGAGGAAAGCCGAGTCAGTGAACGTGTAAGCATCTCAGTGCTGGCAGGGATCTCCACACGAGTGCTCCAGTACCCAAGGCTGCATTGGGGTAGGTTCATGTGGCTTCTCCTCAGGGATGTCTCGCAGGAAGTGAGCCTTGCCAGCTGAAGCAGGGAACTGGCTAAGGCAACTACACCCTGGTCCAACTATCACAAAGCAAGAGACCGAGAACTAGGAAGGTGAGGCTCACCGAGCCATTTATCCCTCCGCCCTTCAATTAACCCCATATGTGTTTATCGTCCAGGTTGGTACAATAAACCTTAACTATCTCACTGTGGGAGTAGAGGCTGCTGATCCTGGCAAGAAATGACCAGTGGAGGAAGGGTGGGAGCCCTTGTCTGCTTAAGGCTTCCTTATTTCCCTTCTGCCACAGGGCCAAGGAGCTCTCACACAGGCTTTCTTTTACATCCGGGCAACAGGTTTGGTTAGGGAGCAAATGGAACTTGTGGCTAATATTATGTTTGGAGATTTTCTCTCACCCTCCCTCATCCACTGACATCGGCAGCTGTGAGCTGTGTGCTAAGGAAGCGTAGCACATGATGAAGAGTTGGGGGTGCTGTGACCAGCCAACTCTGGCTGCTGATGGGAATCTGCTCCTTCTGTTTGATTGGCCTGCCGACCTCTCACTACATGTGAAGCCATGCATGCCCTGGTGCAGGCCTGCTCTCCAGGAGCCTTCCTGTTCCAGGAGGCTTGGGGAACAAGAAGAAGGGGAACAGAGCCATGTGGATTGGGGGTTGTGGGGTACCAGCCTCCACAACCGAATGGGTGCAAGAGGGGCGGTTGTGTAATTGAAGGGTAAATGAAAGAGACATCTAACTAGACAAAACATGCAAGTGCTCACCTCCGCTGGGACTTCAGGAGCCAGGTCCTCCCAGAGAGAGAGAGAATATATTCCCAACATCAGTTTATATACTCTAGGGGCATACAATCCCGCCTAATTACAGGTAACCACATACTGAACAAAGTGGGCTGTACCCTAACCCTAAAGGTCCCTGAGTTGATTGGAGGAGTAACCTAACACCAGTGCTGGGGGCAGGAAAGGGGGGTGACTGTCCCCTGAGCAGTGAGAGCAGTTGCAACCTGTCTGCTCCTATACATAAAGCTGCAGGCTAGACAGCAATCAGCCATGCGCCCACAAGGCTGGAATCTTGGAGACATATTTAGAATTCGTTTCATTCCCATGGGGCACTGAAAAAGAATCAACCCAGTGAGACGCGGTGGTGGGCTGCTTGTGCTAGAGCTCGAGTGGGACGGCCAGAGTCATCCACGCAGCAACAAAGGCTTACTGTGGTGCCACCGTCCAAGAGGGATCAGACAAAGCTCCTGTTCCCATGGGAAACAAGGGGAGAATGCAAACTCGTTCGCTTGCCCATTTCCAACTCGGGGACACAGAGACGTACAAGCTGCCGCTGCCAACCCCTCGCTGCTCCGTCCAGCAGACGGTGTGTGTGCCAAGAAGTGTGCGGTGCTGGCGGAGTCATGACGGGACCCACGAGGCCACCATCCAAGGGAAAGGTGTTGCTGAGCTCACCTGGGCGCGGTCCGGGGCGCCCCAGGCAGGTGAGAGAGAGTCTGAGATAAGCTCCCAGAGCAGGCCAGCTGGAGTGGAATGGGAAACCCAGCCCAGGAAGCACGGGGCTGCACGACGTGGAGACACCACCCAGCAATCAGCGCCAAGCAGCCCCGGGTTTGGAGCGGCTGGACTGGCAAGAGGGAGGTAGTTTAGGAGTGAGGCGAGACGTGAAGCATCTCTGCGTGTGAAGCCCTCTGCTTCGGGACAGACTCCCTCTCGGCCCCGGGGGTGGGATCCCCTGCTGCGCAGGCTCCCTCATCCCTCAGGTCTCTGAGGTGGGCAACTAAGATTCCTTTGGGAAACGATGACTCAAGGTTGGACGGCTCAGGGAACCTGAGAGGAGGCAAGATACATACAGAACTGTCACCGCCCCCCAGCAAATTCCAACTCACAGCCACCCCACAGGGCAGAGTCGAACTGTCTCTGGGGGTCTCTGAGAGTATAACTCTCTATGGGAATAGAAAGCTTCAAACTGCGGGCTTTGTGGTTTAGCAGCCCGAAGATAACACACTACGCCCACCACAGCCCCTAACGAAAGGTGGTTTTTCAAGAAAGAGAGACTACTTCTGATTGGAGGAATCAGGAAAGGCTTCCTGGAAGCGGCATTTGCACTTAGTCTGAGAGGAGGAGGACTGGGATGGAGAGAGGTGGGGATGAGAAAATCCTTGGGTGGATATGCTTTTTACTAGAGTTATCATCCTGGCGATGGAGTCCCCCTCTTTTCCAGGCTTCAAGTGTCTGCATAAGATGCTACAGGGTCTATTGGGACATCTCCAAGATCTACAGCTTATTAATGGCAACTGTGAATGCGTGTCCAGAGTCCCATAACCGTGATGGCTACTGCTTCATTCTTAGAACCCAGAGGATTGCTTATGTTATGTGTTATCCTACCTGGCCTTGTTACCACCTCATCCTTTAAGCCAGAGCTTGGGTGTATTTTCTCAAAAACAAAACAAAACAAAACAAACAACAGAAACAAACAAACAAAAACCCTTTCTCTTTCCCCTCCTTCAACCTCTACCTCCCTCAACGGAGTTAGGTCTCTGCCCCTCTGCTTCCATCAAAGCTCCAGCACCACCTTCACTGCATTCTGAACTGGCATTCGCTCTTATTTTATCTTCTCCATCTTGTGTTCTTTCAACTTATCATAAAGCCTGACACACAGGAGGTATTCAGAAAAAAATTAGTTGAATGAATGAACCACTGTATGTATTTTAAACTCACCAAAAGCTGGGTGGTTAGAGTACTTGGCTGCTAACCAAAGGTCTGTGGTTTGAGCCCACCAGCCGCTCCACAGGAGAAAGATGTGGTAGCCTGCTTCCACCTAGACTGACAGTCGTGGCAGTGCTGTGAGCCAGCTCCACTCAGCTTATAGGGCTGGCATCAGTTGGAATGAACTCGGTGGCAGTGGGTTTTGAGTTGGTTATTTATACAGACAGAGCCTACACATCTAATGCAGAAACACGAGTGTATATGAAGGTTACTGTTCCTATTATACGGTTTTCAGGGAAATGTTATAGGACAATAGTGTTTTAGGACAACAAACTTCCCACATAAGGTGCTGGGGAAACTTTTCACAACTGGAAATATCCCAGTGTCACAGGCTGGTTGTCCTGAGCGCTCTGTTCCCGACAGAGAGCTAGGAGCAGCTGGAGTGACTAGCCAAGAGACAGAAACTCCCTGGGCTCCCTCTCCTGCCCACAGTGCGCTCCATGGTCAAAAGCTATAATCCTGCCCATGCTGTACACGCAGAGGCGAACACCCATCTTTGACCTGTGGCTTCTCTTGCCTCTGCCAGGAATGTGACAGTGACTTCATCTCAGACTCACTGTGAGCTGGAGCCTCACCCTCCAGAAGAGCGTTCAGTTCCTGTGTGTGCAGAGCAGAGCAGGGTGAGGGCGCTTGGAGGTTTCTACAACACAGGGGCAGTAGCTGCGATGGCCAGCGGCCTAGGCAGTCTACAAACAATGAGGGAAGATCCGTCCCGCTTGCCTTGCGTTCCTTCTCAGCCCCGAAACCCAGGTCTTGCACAATCTTCTGCAATCCACTCTCTTCCTTCTCACTCACACTGTCCCTGCGGCCAGCTCAGCTGCAGTCACAGGAATGGAGAATGAGTTGGTCTGAGGTTCACAGCACCAGCCCCTGGCTGTAGCATCTTTAGGGTCAGAGCCATTCAGAGAGGAGGCTGTACATTCTTCATGGGGCTCTCATTTCCCAAGCAGCTGTCCCCAGGACAACAGATGGCAGCTGTGATGCGAGAGTGACAGCAACCTGTTTGTAGCTTGGCCAAGGTATGATGCATATTCCATGCAGTTCCCAGAAGCCAAAGTCTGCTTTCAGCATTTCACAGTGGAAAACATCCCAGTGTCTCAGGCCAATAGCTTCTGTGGTTCCTAAAATCTAGGTCATGGACTTAGCTCTTGGCCTTCTGGTATCCTTCTTGGTATAGAAACTGCAACATAATATTCTCCCCCCTCCCACATACACACACCTGTCCACATAACAAAAGCTGAAAATGTAAGCACCAGATGGTGACTTTAAAAATAGGCAGGACAAGCAGATGTGAGGAACACTGGCAGTCTTGCCTGTGTGCTTCTTGA